TCATAACTGTTCTGTGTAAAATCCCCCCATAGTTCACAGCAGGTTTATGAAATTTACACTCAATTGTAGATATATCTCTGAACTATATGAAATTAGCCATTTCTTACTGCTGATTTTTTAGGGTTAATTGGGAATAGAACACCTGTAATATTGCCCCTGCCCTGCAATTCTATTGTTGCAGATAGACGTCCTGAATGAATTTTTCTTCTGACTCTTTTACCCACAAAGAAAGAAAATTATTGTTGACAAATAAACCACCTGCGAAAGTTAACAAAGGAAACACAACTGGGCGATAGTACAGGGGGCCTATCAGCAATAGTAAAAGTACAGGGTGTCCATCCACAATTGCATAAAAGTTAGAGGTCTACCCGCAGTTACGCGCTTTTTTTAATAGCACTTACATTCGTAACTTCCAAATTATCTCTGTCATATGAGATTCTGTTGCAGAGAAATCTTATAATACTTCAATGTGCTGTAGAGAGAGCTTGGAATCGCTTTTACGTGTGGAACGAACACCCTCATATAAATTTATGTGCAGTAACAGAAATATGGATATGATGAGCTTGGATGCTACTTATAGGATAATAAATGGCTTGCTGTCTATATACAATTAACCCTCTATTTCTAATCCTGGTATAATTTTGATAAATTGTTATATCGATAAATTGATGTTTTTGTGTGGTGAAGGTGGCGGTGGTGTCGTCAGTGGTGAAGCTGGAGTCTGAGCACTTAACTCAGATTGCTCAGTCGGTGCAGCGACTCACGGGGGCGAAGAATGTGAGGATCAAGACCAACATCGATCCCTCGCTGGTTGCAGGGTTCACGATCAGATACGGGAACTCTGGTTCCAAGTTGATTGATATGAGCGTGAAGAAGCAGCTCGAAGAGATTGCTGCTAGGCTTGATTTCTCCTCCATCACCCTCTGAGGAAATTATTGTCATTTTCCTTTTGTTGATTGTTTTTGTTGTGAATTCTAAGGAAATTTGCGAGTACATAAGTTCATTTGAATGAATAATTATTATAATGTTGCATTAAATTCAAATTGAATAACTTGGTGATGATATATTTAACGTAAAGGTGTGTAGTAAGATATACGCCACAACTTTTACTGTATGTCTGTACGCTGCTATTCATGTTGCCACTCTCTTTTCTTAGCGGCATGAGTAGAGTGTAGTAACTCGAAAAACACTTATAACTCTTGAATGTACTTAGCTTTTGTACGAGATTCAAGAGCCGATAAGCCCTGAACGTAAATGAATTACAATTAGGGCAACATGTGGCCACAAATCCCAAAATCTCAAGACGGATCATAAGAGCTTGCTTCTGAAAGAAACTTGCGCTGTTTAAAAAGAACAAATGCATATTTTCGTCTTCACTCTTATCTGCTATGTTACACCCTTCCCTCTAAAATTAAAAGCCAGAACTTGAATTAATAAAGATTAATTAACATGTGATCTAGTACTTTGTATTCATAAAAGAGACACGAAGGCATCTGTCCCATAAAGATCAACCCAAAGTGAATTCAAAGCTAGAATGCGGAAATAGAAATCTAAGTTGATTCAATAGAAGAGTTCATTTTCATTAAGCCAAACTTTTTACTTAATTTATTAACGTGAAGAGACTTGCACAACAAGACAAACATCTCCAGTATGTAAACATGAACAAGGAACTCACCTTTCTTCTTTTTTATTTCTCTTTGGTAACTCGACTTGATCAGGCAAGATAAGCTTCATTTATCCCCAGGATCTTCTCCTCATTTGCAAGAACAAACTTCTCCATGAAATCTAGGCCTGTCCATCAGGGACGGCCCGGCCTGGCTCGGCCCAAAAATCCGGGCCTGGGCCGGGCAAAACCGGAGCCCGGACCCGGGCCCGACCGGGCCGGGTTCCACGTCGGCCCGGTTTTTTCCTTTTTTTTTAATTTTTTTTATCAATTTTTTAATTTTATTTAAATTTTAAATTATACAAAAAAGACAAAAAATTTAATAAAAATAATAATTTTATTAATCACTTAAAATGACATAAATTACAAATAAAAAATTATAAAAATAAATTCTTTATTAATAATTAATAAATTATTTACAAATTACAAGTATAAATTTATTTTGGAATTCATCGCATCAAATAGATAAGTACATCCCAACTAGGTTTTTTTAAATTTCTTTTCTTTTCTTTTTTTTATAAAAAAATACTAAAAATTAGTTTAATATTATTATATTTTATATAATTATGTATTAGTATATACTTACAAATTATTATGTAACTATATATTATATATACATATATTATATGTAAATATATTGTATATATTTATAAGTTATAACTTGAGAGAGAGAGAATCGCATAAGTAGTCGTTGCCCGTTGGGCCAATGGGGAAGAAGTAGCCGTTGTAATATACTATACTTATATACTAAGAGAGAGAGTATACACACACACACATATATAAAAGAGTATACTTATATAATAGGGAGTATACATATATAAGAGAGAGTATACATATATAAGAGAGAGTATACTTATATATACATATATACTAAGAGAGAGAGAGTATATATATATATATACATACATACATACATACATTAAGAGAGAATATTCTTATATATACTTATATAAGAGAAAGTATACTTATATATACTTATACATATATATACTTATATAAGAGAGAGAGTATACTTATATATACTTATATACTAAGAGAGAGTATATATATATACACACATATGACATATTATACATATATAGAAATATATTATATAAGAGAGAGTATACATATATAAGAGAGAGTATACTTATATATACATATATAGGTCGGCCCGGGCCCGGCCCGGAGCCCGGACTTGGCCCGGGTTTCCGGGCCGGGCGAGGGCTTTTTGGACACCCCTAATGAAATCCTTTTCACCTTTATGCTAAGGAAGACCGTGCATTACATTTTCCGCCTGCCTAACTTTTCTCGCTCTGTAACTCCTAGAACATAACAGCGATGCATCAACCTCCACTCTAAACTTAATCTAAAAAGGATCAGGTTGACAAAAATAGTACAAAAGCTAACATCCGACTTCCCTCAAGAAGAAGGAAAAAAATCCATCATATCATAGATATTCTTCTCCAATATCAATAAAGTTTGGAAACTTCCTTATCACAGATAAGATATCCTCTGTGGTCCAGCCAAGGTTTCTTAAGGCTGTGTTTGGGAACATGGATTTGGGCCCTGGATTTTAAATCCAAGGTATTTCAAATCCAAGGTATTTCAAATCCAAATCCCTAGTTTGGGCTACAAAACTGGGCTGGAATTTCAAATCAAATTATTTTAAAGAGAGAATTTGAAAGCCCAAAAGCCCGTATTTGAAATCCTACCCTACCCCTTGTCATTTACCAAATCCCGATCCCAAACTCCTCTCTCGTTTCTCATCTCCGACGATCCCCGACTCCTCCTCTCTCTCGTTTCTCAGCTCCGACCGATCCCGACTCCCCTCTCTCTCGTTTCTCAGTCGCGATCTCGAATCTCTCTCTCTCAACGCAGCAACGTAGGTATCTCTACTCTCTCCCCTTCTTCTCTCTCGTTGAAACCCTAGATCTGATCTAGGGTTTCGGTCTCCCCCTTACTCCTCTCTCTCCCCCTTCCATCGAAACCCTAGTTCTGACTTGAATTTTCTCTTTTGTAGCTTGTTTCCTCTCTTTCAGTTGGTCTCCTAGATCTAGGGTTAGTTTTGGGTTTCGTCTGATTTTTTTTTGGGGATTTACAGGCTACTGTCAGCGACTTGCAGGAGGAGATCCATACTAGAAGTAAGCGATTCATGTTTATGTGATTTTTTACTGTTCTTGGGAGGTTTATGTGATTTTGACAAATATTGGAGTTTTATTGCAAAATGCTGAAAGTTCATACCGGTTTAGTGAAATTTACCCATTATTATTCTTAGTTTGTCATTTGTTAAAGCCCAAACCGAGCAGAATGAGGAGGTTATATGTCTAAATGTGATCGGTAATTTCATGAGCATGTTTTCAAAAAGAGTCCAACAACTGGTTGGGTAAGTATTAAGTATATTGATCTAAGAGCATGTTTGGCAACACACTTAATTTGATTTATAAATAACTTTTTTACTTGTAAGGTACAAGAATAAACCTGACATCCTTATTTTACATCTACTGTGACTTTGTTAGTACAAAGCATAAAGATTGTGCAATGAATTATTATCCATGCACATAGGGAATTCTTCACAAGTCTTAATCACATTTATGTCTATAAGAAAATTAGAAACCCTTGACCATATTATTAAAAGGGAAAAATAATAATAAATGAGAGACAGACAGGCATGTATTTGTGACATTATAATATTCATTTGTTCTGATTTTGGCATTAAGAGTACTCTTTGCAGCTTGCATAAGATTTCATATGGTTCTTTCCATAGGGACAGAATTCTGCCTTAAATGAGATGCTAATTAGTCTAGACTAGACTCTTTGTATGGCTCGCTCTTACTTGTCCCATGGTTTTTTCTTAATCAGTCTATGAGGCATAGACTAGACTCTTTGTATGGCTCGCTCTTACTTGTCCCATGGTTTTTTCTTAATCAGTCTATGAGGCATCATCTTTTAGTTACCAACAACCAAATGAGCTTGTTAAAGTGGGAAATGGAAGTCTGCAGCATGGGTCTTCAAAATAAATGCAACATAGTTACATATGTTATATCTCATAATCAGTCTATGCTAGAATCTCCACCATAGTCCCTAATCCGGTAACAGATAGTTACTAAGTGAAAAAGCTGATAATCATCCACCTTTAAACTGTATAAGGTTCCTATCTATTTGTACTATAATTGCAGAAATGAGAATTTTTTTAACATTTATTCATGTAAATCTGATAGTAATTTTGGCATAGATTGGCATAGATTTTATAAGGTATCAAGTGATTTAAAATTTCATTGTGCCAGGTTTCTCGCTCAAGTTACTGATATATGTGTAATCTGCTTGCATGTTCAACTTTTAATGTGATAGGTTAAAAATGATAAATGATGAAAGGGATTCAAGGATCCAACTTAAACGTACAAGGGAAGAATTTGAGAGGAGAGAGGATGATGCCATTATTATGGTAGTGGTCAGTTTTATAGTTGCTGCCATTGGTGCTTGGTACTATACAAAGCACATGTTGAAGGAGAGTTCAAGAACACACGAAGAAGAGGATGAAAGGACATACCTTAGAAAGTCTTGGATTCGAAATCTTATTTGCAATGCAAATAACTGTGTTGAACAACTAAGGATGAATCCTCAAGCGTTTAAGAGGTTATGTGATGTTCTATGTACTAGAGGGGGATTAGTAGCATCAAGAAATGTCACGATTGAAGAAATTGTCGCTATGTTTTTGCATATTTTAGCTCATAATGTAAAAAATAGGACAAGCAAGACAGATTTTTATCGTTCAAATGAAACAATTAGTCGGCAGTTCCACAAAGTACTTCAAGCAGTCATGAAGATAGGAAGCCTCTATATTAAACAAGAATATACAAATCCTAATGAGAGAGACATAGAGAAGTGGAAATGGTTTGAGGTAACTATGACTTCTTTTATTAAGGTTTTCATGTTTAGTACTTTTGTTTAATAGAACTAATTGTAAGGTTGTGCAATTTTAGGATGCTATCGGGGCACTTGATGGGACTCATATCCAATTAACTATTCCTTTGGAAGATCAAAGTAGATATCGAAATAGAAAATGAGAGAACAGTACAAATGTACTTGGTGTTTGTGATGCCAATTTGAGATTTTCATATGTGCTACCTGGTTGGGAGGGTTCAACATCAGATTCTCGTGTTTTGCGTGATGTTTTGCGTCGGCCCAATGGCTTAAAACTTCCCTCAAGTAGGAATATAATTCTTTTAATTATTATATATGTATTGCTTCTTAGTTTTTACATTGTTGTGACTGAAGATTTTGATTTTGTAGATAAATACTTTCTTGTGGATGCTGGGTATACAAATGGGCCGGGGTTTTTGGCACCTTATCGAGGGACTCGCTATCATATAAAGTCTTGGAGAGAAAATGGTCCAAGAAACTACAAGGAGTTATTTAACCAACGTCATTCCTCTGCTAGAAACACAATTAAGAGAGCATTCGAAAAAGCGATGGGCTATATTACGGACAGCTAGCTTTTATAGTGTTAAGACTCAAATTAGGATCATTAATGCATGTTGTATTCTTCACAACTTTTTACGTGAAGAGATGAATGAAGACGACTTGTTGAATGATGTGGATCGAGAATTAGAAGATTCTCCTGTTTTAGAAATTGAGAATGTAGATGATGAGCGTATCACCACTGTGAGAGTTACAGATGAATGGAGCAACTTTAGAGATAATTTAGCTATGCAAATGTGGGATGAATACCGACTTTAAGATAATTTAGCTACAAGATGGAAATGAGGGTGACGAGTATGAAGAAGATGATGAGTGGTTGTGAGATTTTTATATATGCAGTGTAGTTTCTGTTTATGCAGTGTGGTTAATTTAGTCAAGTGCATTACTCTTGACTAAATTTGTATATTTTATATATGCTGATGACTGGTTGTAGATTTTTATATATGCAGCGAGGAACATGAAGATTTTTTTTTCTGTTTACTTGGGGCTATTACACCTTATGTTAGTCCTCGAATTTGAGGTTAGTGTTCCTTCCCAATTGCAAAAGTTTCAGTTATGTCAGTTTAAATTACTATCTTTGAGCTCGAATATTGATTCTTCTTATTGACATTAATTAAGCAATATATGGTTGGATAGAGACAGTGGCCATAGCCAGTGATAGTGGCCTCAGATATGAATGTTATATCATATCAGTCTGGCAAAAACTTGAGTTACTAAACAAGAACATCATAACCAGTGGCGACGAAGGTACATCACCAAATATGTGGATAGAGACAGTGGCCATAGCCAGTGATAGTGGCCTCAAACTAGGCTTGACACAGTGTAGACATATGTAGTTTACAGGCCCCTAGAAAATCAAAGAAATTCTTCGGATAAGAAACTTACAATAAATAGTTTTAAGAAGAGCGTTATGAGTTCATGACTGTGCTTAAATATAAAACCTCATGAAAAATTCATCCCAGAAGTTGTATCAAAAAAATCACAACTATGTAGACCCTTCTTTACTTCCAACATACTTACAGACATAAATGTTAAAATATGGCATTTCATAGAATATTAAGTCATATTTATGGATAAACATGTGCAAAATTAACATTGAAGAGACAACTAAGTTCCAGGTTTGTATATTTCTAACAACCTATGACTCATGAGGAACTTCAAAAGTACAAAATTAAACTTTCTTTTGACAAAAACTTTGAAGAAACTATGTTTCCAGTGTCCTGTGTATACAAATCTTGTAAGTAACTCTCTCCAAGTTTCATTTTCTCTTTGTTTGTGATGTTCTATAAACATACTGTTTAAAATTTGTAAGTAACTCTCTCCAAGTTTCATTTTCTCTTTGTTTGTGATGTTCTATAAACATACTGTTTAAAATAAACACTCCTTTACAGCTTTAAACTTTTTGTGATGTTCTATAAACATACTGTTTAAAATAAACACTCCTTTACAGCTTTAAACTTGAAAACCATTATCTTTGAATGCATGCACATAAAGAGGCTCATTATTGAGCACACGGAGCTACAACCAGAATCGTTTGATTACTTCAACTATCTTATGTTGCTTCATAAGGTGACCTCTCATTAATCAATTATTTGTGAGATGATTGCTTCTCTTCACCTTGACAGGAGTATTTACTGTTGTTCCAAAAGCTTGCAAGCAAGTTATTGACTCTATATGGGTTAATTGCAGACTATGGTTGTATTAAAGACTTACGTTGCATACATATATCTTTTGCACGATTAAGATTTAAATTTTTTTTCGCTCCAGGATACTTTCTTTTCATTTAAGTCATAGGGATCAAGCACAACTCCGTTATTACCATTATTCTTCAGCCTTCATTACTAATCAACCTTTGTGCTTCAATACTAATTCTGTGTCATTCACTTTGGTATGTATTAGGATGACAAAGAAAGAGAAACAAATTGCATCTCATTCAAGATCATATGTTGCGTGGAATCGTGATATGGACGCAGCTTTAGCCAATGTGTTGTACGATCAAATGAACCAAGGATTAAAAGTCGATGGTACTTGGAAGCCTCAAGTGTATCAAGTTGCGGTTGATGCACTAAAATCATTTAATAGCAACTTGAACAAAGATAACGTGAAAAATCGACTCAAAATTTGGAAAACCCATTATAATGTTATCTATGACATTAAAAATAAAAGTGGTTTGACATGGTGGGATGATGAGAAGAAAATGGTGATTATACCCGCTAGTGAGCAAAAAGTATGGAACGGCTATGTTACGGTAATATCGCACTATATATTTATTAATTTGAATTATTAGTTTGTTGCATATATCTAAAAAATATTTGTGAATGTTCTTATATTGCAGGCTAATCCAGATGCAAAAGGCTACCAGAATCGTTTGATTGAAAATTGGGATGACATTATGGTGTTATGTGCAAAAGATAGAGCCAACGGTGAAGGTGCAGAAACTTTTGAAGAGGCTGCTAACACAATGCAACATGATGAATCTGTGGCACAATCTGAAACAAACGAAGATGGAAGCTCTTCAAGGAAACATCTTCCTGGAACATCAACTAGTGGTGAGACAAGTTCAAAGAAACAAAAGAAGGGGGATAAATGTTAGACCCTAGAGGGGGGGTGATTAAGATCTTATGCTAATCTAATCCGATTTTATGTCAATTAAAATTAATTAACAAGTTATCCTAGTAAGTATGAAATATCACAAGATATATGAGCTAGAATAAGCAATATGAACAACAAGATATATCCTAACAAAGAGATATATGCAATGTATGTGCAAGGATATAAAAACTAACACAAGGGTAAACAACATGAAACAATATAGAGGATGATATGAATAATGAGACAATGGCGATATGAGCAATGAGAACAAATATAAATAAACGCCAAAAGCACACTCAAACACAATCAAATGATCACGGAGTTCGGACCTTCCGTCCTACGTCTCCGCTCCCCACTCCCGGGGAGAAATACGCTCACCCGAATAACGTTTACACCTCATAGTGTCGGTTTTCAACGCTCACCGAACAACGTTCACTCCTCACACTCGGTTTTCTAGTTCACCGAAAACTTCACAACACACTCGGTTTTCTAGCTCACCGAAAACCTTACAACACTCACAATGTAACAAATATAAATTTGTTCTCTACAATAAATGAGAACACAATTAAGCACAACTCAATGTTACAATCTCTCACAACCCTAATATACTATGTATGCAAATACAATAAGCTCAAGTGGGTGTGTGTAACAATGAGATAAAATCAAATCTAAACTCAATATAAAACTAGCTTTAATAGAAATGATAATTAAACAATACAAAATGTAAAGCTAGAAAGAGTTTAGAAATTCTTCTCTGAAAAACAAGATGGAGAGGAGGATTGAAATGAAGTTCAGGCACTATGAATGATCTTCTCCACTTGTAAAACAATCTTCAAACCAAACAGACTTTGAACCCAACTAAAACCCTTTTCAAAAACTCTTTAAAACTTCTTCAAAACTCTTTTATGAGTTTCTCAAATAGAAGGGGGGTTTGGGAGTTTATATAGGAAAAGAAACAACAGCTAAAACCCAAAACCAAATTAATAAAAATCCTAGAAAATCAGGAAACAGATTTCTGTACAATATTACCGTTGGGAGTTCGGCGGTCGACCGACGAAATTTTTGGTCGACCGACGAAATCATTCGGTCGACCGATGAAATTTCCGATCAACCGCGATCCAGATCGAAAACGAGAAAAACAAATAGAGACTTCATCGGTCGACCGGTGCGGTCGACCGACAGAAAAATCGAGCTCTCGGTCGACCGCATCGGTCGACCGACAAACTCTCTGCTGCCCATTGACGAATGATCATATGAGCGGTCGACCGGTGCGGTCGACCGCATTCTGATACATTTCAGATAAACAGTTTTTAGAGCTGATTTTTGAGACTTTTGGAAAATATGTTAAAAATAACAAATAAAGTCCAAAAATAATGAAACTTTGGGAAATGTATATAAACATGTAAATGAACATGTTACAAAAAGAATTTTCCAAACTGCATTTCCCATTTGTGAAAAATCATCATTTTGCAAAATAGTTCAAAACACGAAAAAGTAAACATGTGAATTTTGATATTTTGGCTAAACCATGTTTTGAAACTTTGCACAATGATTATATAGACTTAATAAAATATGTATATGATTATTGTTAAGTCTAAGAATATAGAATTTTCACAAAATTGCATATTCTATGCAGTGTTTTCAAAAACACAATAGTAAATATGAAATATGTGATTTCATATTATAAACATGAGAACCCAAAACCATGCATGTATATATATAACTCTATATATACATAGAAAACAAAACTTATGTGTATATATATATATACCTATATATATACGAAGAAACCAATAATTGTGTGTGTATATGATATTGAGCTTAACGTACTTAACACACATAATATAAATCCTAAACTAAATTACCCAAGCTTGATCTTGATCTTCATTGAGCTCAATTTGGTACACGTTGCGGATGAAGCTAAACTTGGATCTTGAACTTGAATTGTACGATGCTTCACTCCACAATTCCGCTAACCTCCATTTGGTATCGT